GGCACTTACCTGTTTTGAAGTTTGTAGTTCAGGCAGCAGAGCACCTGTCTTGCAGCAAATCAACAAGCACATTCAACTAGCAGACATGCAGAGTTGCGAACAGTGCAAAGCAGGCACAAGACTGCAATGAACCTCCCAGTTCACCACCAATGAGCGCACACAATCACACACCATGCGGAAATGAGATCACATGAAGTTCACACTGGAGGTCAGAGAGATGAAGGCCAGGTAATCGCAGCTTTAGAATTCCAACAGAATATCATATGAGCAATTAAGAGTTCCAGTCACAAGCGCTCAACAGTGCACATCCAAGTAACCTGTATCTTCATTCAGGTAAGTGTCACTCCCACTGCTCCTCTCTTCTCTCTTGGTCTTCTCTCTGTCTACTACCTCCCTGTGTCTTCTCTCCCTACTTGCATGCACTCACACTCTCTACTACTCAAGGACCAACTCTGAATACACCCACTGCTAACTCTACTAACTCTCCTGATGTCTACTACTAACTACTAAGCACTGGCGCAGCTAGAGCTGCCTCTGCCAGCACTAGGGCAGCTATGGCTGCTCCCTCTCTCTCTCCCTCTAACAGCGCGTCTCCCTGGCTCAGCGCTCCGCTCCTCGCAACAGCGCACAAGTGCACCAGCACTTCCACACTTCATGCGAATGAGCAATCTCCCCGGATGGGGAGGAGGCTGGCCAGTCCTTATATTGTCTTGGACTGAGCTTCAACTCGTCCCAGCCTCTGCTTCTTGGGGCTTGACTTGGTTCTGGTACCACATCCCCACGGCCTGCTTGCTTCAGAATGTCAGGGCCTGGTACTTTTCCCGAATTTTCATTGGTGTGCTGCTGCTCGGGCCTGTGAGTCGTGACTTTTCATTTGTGGAACATGACTTTTGACTGTGGGTTGTGACTCCTGCCTCTGGGACACAACTTTTGCCTGGGGAAGTGTCCTTTCCGCGGGATGTGACTTTTCAATATGACTTTTCATCATGAGACGTGACTTTTGCTTAAAGAACGCAACCTCTGCCCCTGGGATGTGACTGTTCACCGGGTGCCTGTTGGACTTGACTCCTGAGGTACCCGACTCTGACTTCTCTGAAACTGACCGTCTTGGCCTAAGACCTTGACCCTGAAACTCAAATTTGGGGTCTGAATCATGGAAGGCCTTTCAAGACTAAAGAAACAGAGAAAAAAAAAGAAAAAAGTATGAATTAAGTAATTTCAATTCATAACTTCATATACCTTAAAAGTTTGAACTTCGCAGTTCAATTCAGAATGTCAGAGTCCTCAGGCTGGCAGCACTGTCAGTGCTCTCTCTCTCTCTCTCTCTCTCTCTCTCTCTCTCTCTCTCTCTCTCTCTCTCTCTCTCTCTCTGTGGGTGTGTGTGTGTGTGTCTGTGTGTAAGCGACGGGTTGCAACTGTGGGGGGCACGTTGAAACCACCGCTTTGAAATTGCTCAGGCCTGTGTGAAACCTGCCACCCCAAAAACCTGCAGTGTCTTGTGTCCAGACCTCTAGGCCCTGTCCGGTAGGGTGNCTCTCTCTCTCTCTCTCTCTCTCTCTCTCTCTCTCTCTCTCTCTCTCTCTCTCTCTGTGTGTGTGTGTGTGTGTGTGTGTGTGTGTGCAACGGGCGGCAGCTGTGGGCGGCACGTTGAAACGACCGCTTTGAAATTGCTCAGGCCTGTGTGAAACCTGCCACCCCAAAAACCTGCAGTGTCTTGTGTCCAGACCTCTAGGCCCTGTCCGGTAGGGTGAAACGACACTGAAAAATCCTCCCATTATTTTTCAAGGGGCGCCGAAAAACGTCCTGGGCCGCCCCTTTATTTTTTTCAATTTTTGCCCCGGGGGCCTCCATCCGGACATAAGGACCGGACATTCCGGACTGTCTGCAAGCTGGTCTGGATGTCCGGACCAGTCCAGACACTGGTGCACTTTGTCCATATGTTGTACGAGTGCCCCAACGTTCTCCCAGTACCTAGTGAGGAATAGAAAGGTGCTCCAAGTATATGTTGCCTTTCTGCGACCACACAAAAGAAAAAAGGAATGTTGAGATAGCCCGGTCAAGAGTGAGGAAGGAAAGGTTCCGCCCCAAGTGCAAAAACTGTTCGATGAGGCAGATTTGAAGGAGCCCCGTGGAGTGGTGAAGAGACCCATCAAGCACCGCATAGAGATTGAGCCGCATGATAGGACTCCCAGGGGCCAGATGTATCACGCGTTGCCATGTGAGTTGGAAGGGTTGTGGAGACAATTTGATGTGTTAGTAGACAAAGGGTGGATTAGGCCGAGCTCGTCACCGAATGGGGCACCCGTTCTATTCGTTCCTAAGAAAGAACGAAAGCTTAGACCATGTATTGACTACCGCGGCTTGAACTCCATCACCGTGAAGAACGCTAAACCGTTACCACGTATTGCCGATCTATTAGATCGGCTACAAGGCTGCAAATACTTCAGTAAGATAGATCTTAAGTCCAGGTAACATCAGATTGAGATAACGTCAGAAGATCAACCCAAGACTGCATTCAGGACCAGGTACAGACACTATGAATTCATCATGATGCCCTTTGGACTGAGGAATGCCCCCGCAATGTTCTAAAGATGTATGAACGAGATGTTTCGAGTCCGGCTGGATAAATTAGGAGTTGTATACTTAGATGATATCTTGATCTTTAGTATGAGCACGAGGAGCATCTCTGTAAAGTACTAGACAAGCTAAGAGAGTGCAAGTTCAAGTTGAATTTGAAGAAGTGCAGGTGGGCCAAGCAAAGAGTGTTGTACCTGGGACATGTGATAGAAAGAGACGCAGTGCACCCAGAGGACAGCAAAATTGCAGCAATTAGAGACTGGCCTGTGCTGACTAACTGGACTCAGCTTAGATCGTTCCTAGGACCAACTAACTATTACCCAAAGTTCATTCAAAATTTCAGTCTGATAATGACACCGCTATGGAAGTTGTTGAAAAAGGAAGCAATCTGGCTATGGAGCCACGACTGCACGTCTGCCTTCAGTAAGTTGAAGAAGGTATTAATAGAGTATCTGATGTTAAAAGTCAGATCTGGTGTTGTCATTCGTAGTAACCATTGACGCTAGCCACTATGGGATTTGGGTGGTTCTACAACATGAGGATGGGAAAGGGTACCGTCCGGTCGAGTCTATGTTCAAGAGATTACCATGTGAGAAGGTAGCAGATTCAACATATGAGAGGGAGTTGTATGCACTCTAGAGGTGCTACAAACATGGAACCACCTATTAGGAAGGCACTTCAAAGTTTATTCGGATCGCGAGACACTGTGATGGTTGAAGACGCAGGCCCGTAGAAGAATTTCTCCAGCCCTTGGACCGGCACCTCTCACCCCAGCAGAGAGAACTGCTAGATAGGCCACTGTCCAAGAATGAAGTATGGACAACACTCTTGCAGGTGGACGAGGAAAAGACCCCCAGCCTGGACGGATTCCCCACAGAATCGTTGGAGGCCATGCGGCCCCTCCTCCATCAGGATATAATGCCGTACTATGAAGAGGTGTGGTGTGTCCGGAACATGGGGGAGCTGGTGGGCGAGGGGCCGCTCTCGCTCCTATCTTAAAAAAGGGGATAAAATGAATATACAAAAATACCTCCCTTTCACTCTTATGACTCTCACTCTTATGATGGTAGTCTATAAGATATAAGTGAAGGCATTGGCCAATAGGATGATAGATGCAATGGAGGACAATCCATCCAGCCCAGATGGGCTTCGTACGCAGTTGTACTATTCAAGAAACATCTTGTTGGTCATATCCATCACTTAGGGATTTTCGGACTAAGCTCATAAATTTTCTACAAGCAATTACTTTTGAAAGAATTCCTAGAATAACCTTGTGAGGCAGCCGCCAGGCTGTGGTAATGTCGCCTTCTATAACCCAAGTTGCTGGCTAGCGCCCTGCTTAGTCCCATTCGTCGAGCGTACAACACACGAAGAAGTGTCCTTAACTCTCAAGTATGCGACGTGCTTGGTTTCGCGGTCCAAGTCCGTCGATTTAGACTCCTTACCCTCTGCTGGTAGGTGCATCATATTTGTTAATTAATTTTTGGTTTACACGACTTCAAGCAAATTAAACAGCTATTAAAGCAATGCCTGTGAATCGAGTAGGTGATTTTGGATTAGCTCTTGGTATTATGGGTAAGGTAATAAAGTAGGCAATGTGGTAAAAAAGAAGAAACTAGTTTTTCGAGAGTCTGTAGATCTCAATCCAAGAGTAAAACAAGAATGAATACCACATATAAGAGTAAAAACTAGAGACCGTGTTCGTATCTCAGTCAAGGAACACGTGAAAACCTGCAACATCACTCTCCACCGACTGTCTAGATGAATCCAAGATCGGATACAAGACTGACTGGGCCCTTTGGAAATAAGAAAGAGGCGCAGAGCTGACAGATCTCCAAGAAACAAACAAA